TTAGGGAGCGTCGTGGAGCGTAGCGATGGGTTGGTGGTTTTGTGTTGTGTTGTGTGTGCTAATATACATGCTGCTAGCCGGGGTCGACCACGATTCGGTCGGTCGGTTGGTTGGTTGTTCTGTTATCCTATGTCCTGATTGATCGATAACCACGTGAATTGTGAGCCTGGCCTTGCACGCTCTCGTGATCTGATCGATGCTGGAGTGACCCTTGTTGTTGACCTCCCTGGGTTCCAGCCTGCGACCTTTGTTGATCCGACTCCAAGCAGTTCCTTGCTTCTTGAATCTGATATTTGATTCTCCTTGGGTATTACAGTGGAGATGTTGGTCCTTTGCACGTAGTGGTGCATAAATTGGGTCCACTTCAATGCCTTGGTTGATCGAATCAGCCGTGGAGTACCATGGCTCCAGAAATTCCCTTCCGTGCCTCCTGTCTCCGTATGCCAAAATTTTCCGGCTTCCCACATTGAATATCTGGCCTTCTTGGTCCTAGGGTATGGATATCAAGGATAGGGAGTCATGTCCCCTGACGGCCGCATTGTGTTCCTTTATTCGTGTGCAGTCACACTTCCCAGCTCAGAGAACAAACCAACGACCACCTGTGCTACTTGAGCTACCAAAATTCTCCTCTATAGCAGTGGGGATTTTGGTTTTGTATTTTCAAAGAGAAAAATCTTGACGAACGGCATGGCGTACTATACTGATCACGTGAATGGCATAAATGGCTTCGCTGCAAAAGGCTCTTCCCCTTTCCGAAGGATGCAAGTGCTACATTTGCACATAAGCTCAGTCTCATTTTCAACGCCAAACTGATAAAGGTAAGGACTTCAAAATTAACTTTTATCCTGGGCCCAAGACATTAATTAGCCCTCATTATCAAGGGACTCCAAGAGTGCTCTCTTTGTTAAGCGTTATTCTGATGAACCGAACATCGTGAAACTGCAAATCTGCTTCAGTTTCTAACCGTGGCACATCCATCGTGCACATTAAAGACGCATGACCACGGATAGATTACAGTATTTTGAAGCAATGTCCATCTTTAAACAGAACAATCACCTTTCCTGAGAGATGATAAATGGCAGATACAGATATATGCACTTAGACATCAGTGGGTTTCAGTGGCAGGTAACACGCCTACTAACAACAAAAGAACACGAATTCTAAATGAAAGAAATATGTTTCTAGCAGTCGCCTAATCTTCTGGTTCCTGTGAGCCTTCTAACAAACGTATAGCTTTACGATTATCAGGAAAATTCAGCTTGGGCTGTGCTAACAACACCCAGTGTCGCTAATTTCAAAAGGAAATTGAAGTCCTAATTTTACTAGATCGTTTTTCTTTTTCTTGAAAAACTTAATTTGAGTCAGTGAGAGAACTGATTTGAGACTAAGTTGCAGTTGAAATTCACAACACTCATCCCTCATTCCGTGCCCTGTAATATTTTTTTATCGGGTATGTTGAAAGATTATTGGGATAAACGCTAATCATATTCTTTTCTACTACGTTACAAACCCCTTTTATATAAAGCGGATGGTTGTTTGATTCTAGCAGTTTTTCAACTTAAGAACACGTAAGGACGATGGGCACCAAGGGCACAGATTGGGGAAATGGTACTGTGCACTCAAATTCCGTCAACCCACCTGAGACCAGAAGGAAGGAACACATTGCATGACTCAATTCAGTTTACAACCCTGTCTGTTTTCGTTTAATCCTTTCACTTGAAGGACATTTCTGAAGCCCGGTTGCACTTTTGGAAAGCAATGCTACCGCAGTAGGGTGACTGTCCTCGAGAAGCGTTTGTGCGCGCATATAAAGCCGACATCCAGTGAACTCGTGGGAAAATTGAAAACCTAACCGTCTGCCTGCGAGCAGTTGAAGATAAGTGTGGTTATTCGCGAAAAACATACTAAAAATCACAGGCAATAAATAGTTCCACGAACGATAATTTCACAGGGAGATGCATTTCAGCTTCGAAAACCCCGCCTCTTAGCTGTAAAACCCTTCCGGTGCCTAGCTGCCATACTACTCGAAAGAAGCACAAGGGCTGGGATACTGCCAGATTGCCCAAGCCTAGACAGGGGAAGACGAGGAGCGGAGGTCGGTAAGTTCACGCTCTAACCACTTGGGGCATGTCGCCCCCTCCGATTTCGAATAGATTGGAATTCGATAACTAAACATGCGCAAATGCGACCAAAAATTTCAGGGCACGCTCAACACACCAGGGCAAGGTTGAATTAAGTTAACCTCGTCAAATTAAGCTCTGATCCGACCGTAAACATCTGTCATCCCCACGGCGCGCCGGGATGGATCAGCAATGTCAAAATTCCTACTTACATATGTGGTACTAAGGCACATACATTGGCATGGAGAAAAGCGCTAGAGGGACAAGGAACACCAGTCGATCTCGTAGGCCGGTTTTATACCAACAAATAAGATGACAGAGGCTGGAAACAAATCACCAGATGGGTTTCTGACACGGCTTGTCCTACAATTTGTTGCACAAATACACCCCGGTACCGGTGTTTGTCAGTTAGAGGAACCGCACCGTGTTCCAGAATGTACACGCTCAGTTCTATTCAGACGCGATGGTTGTTTGTTCATCCTACGTTTGCATCATCAGACTCCGATTGTTCTCATACTCACGGAGTTAGCTGACTTGATCCTAAATTTAGTATTCAAATGACTTTTGATCACTCATGCTGAATCATCACGCCTGGTGAATCTACCTCAGGAACATTGTGAACATTGTGAACATTGTGAAAACTGGCTTGTCATTAACTGGCGTTAATCATCTACGGGGTAGACTCTATATGCTTGTTTATTACAGCTAGATTGAAAAACGGTGATCATATGAATAAGCACCGGTTGACTTGATTATTGCTAAACTGCCACACTCGTAGTGTTTTACGGTATCCTAGAGCAGCTTGCCTTTTTTAGCACTAGCAGTCCTCCCTAACTCAGCACACTGGTCTCTTGGAGATTAGATGAAAGGAAACACGGAATGAAGAACACCAACGTGACTCCATGTTCATCTCACTTTGATGAGATTTAACGACGTGGTCTTATCGGGTTCGACGCGCAAGATCTATCCAAGAGCCTTGATCAGGACCGTAACTCAAACAGAGCACGTGAACTACAACACTATGGACAGTTTTGAAAGTTAGCAGTGACTCGGATGGATAAACTGATTTACTCGAATTTGGCCAGCTTCACTATACTCGGTTGAGACTGCTATTTACCTCATAATTCTAATTCCGAATCTCCAGTTTGATTTCATGCGGTCTTCAGAATGTTTATTCTACGGTTACCTGGTAAACTTTTGTCTCGCGCAGCAGAATTACTCAGCGAATTCTTCCAACCTGTCACCTGCTTCTTATATTTGACCTTGGAAGTTTGCGGACAATTCACTACTTTGTTTCCATGTTTCAGTCATAATTTTGCAATTGCATGGAACCTTATCCTCTCTGAACTCTTATTCAAATTACGTGAGTATGTTCACACGGCCTCGAGGAGCCGGTAGTCTTTAGCATCAGAAGCAGTGGTACTGGCATAACGGCGGATACTGAGGATGGGACATGCAAGTATTATTTGGTTTTATGGAAGCTTCACCCCGCGTCTAATGGGAGATGAGTCTTAAGAAACTTGTGGAACTTTGCAGCGTCCGTTTACAGTTACGTGATAGCCAATGGATATCCACGGAAGTTCAAGAAAACGCGTGAAAATGTTGTTTTTAATAACAAAGTTGAAATGAGGCGTTTGAAATCCTGTCCTATAGTTTGTAACTGCTTATTTGGTGTTTGCTAACCAACAACTTCGTGGCGAACGGCTTTCCGCTTTACACCACTGATCATTCCATCTTCAGAGGAAGCGACTGGCGACATCTTGAATGTCGGCTGTAATCTCTCATTTCAAGTAGGCTATCTGCATATAAATGAATCTGAAGAGTGCTACTCAATAGAATGTTGGAACCGGAATATTCTCCCGGAACAGGCATCATTTTGAAAATCGATCATTCCATAAGAGTTGAGGAAAATCTTGCACAATTGATTCGGAGTGAAGCGCCGCCGAAATGTATGGGCCCAAGAGCACCATGTGACCCTGACCAACGCTGTCACACAAAATAAGCATTTACTATCAACATGCTCCCAGAATTTCGTGAGTGGTTGTACTGCTGACGGTACGCGTTCATCAGGTGACCATAGAACAAACATCTCTAAGGTCACATGAAAACAAATTGGAGATTCGGAGATAGAATTATGAGGTAAATAGCAGTCTCAACCGAGTATAGTGAAGCTGGCCAAATTCGAGTAAATCAGTTTATCCATCCGAGTCACTGCTAACTTTCAAAACTGTCCATAGTGTTGTAGTTCACGTGCTCTGTTTGAGTTACGGTCCTGATCAAGGCTCTTGGATAGATCTTGCGCGTCGAACCCGATAAGACCACGTCGTTAAATCTCATCAAAGTGAGATGAACATGGAGTCACGTTGGTGTTCTTCATTCCGTGTTTCCTTTCATCTAATCTCCAAGAGACCAGTGTGCTGAGTTAGGGAGGACTGCTAGTGCTAAACAAGGCAAGCTGCTCTAGGATACCGTAAAACACTACGAGTGTGGCAGTTTAGCAATAATCAAGTCAACCGGTGCTTATTCATATGATCACCGTTTTTCAATCTAGCTGTAATAAACAAGCATATAGAGTCTACCCCGTAGATGATTAACGCCAGTTAATGACAAGCCAGTTTTCACAATGTTCACAATGTTCACAATGTTCCTGAGGTAGATTCACCAGGCGTGATGATTCAGCATGAGTGATCAAAAGTCATTTGAATACTAAATTTAGGATCAAGTCAGCTAACTCCGTGAGTATGAGAACAATCGGAGTCTGATGATGCAAACGTAGGATGAACAAACAACCATCGCGTCTGAATAGAACTGAGCGTGTACATTCTGGAACACGGTGCGGTTCCTCTAACTGACAAACACCGGTACCGGGGTGTATTTGTGCAATAAATCAAACGCTTCTTCGTGGTTGTGTGATATGAAGCTCAAAGTCGCTCTTTGAATGAAGCTATTTTTACGATGCGCTGTTGATGATCCCAGACGTTTCGATGATCCCTCTTCAGTGGAGATATCATGAGTGCGAGTACCAGTGAAGAGAAACTCCACTGCTCAGCATTCACTGCACGTACTCTCGCTTGAACACTAGTCGTTGGGACCTTAGAATCACTAGAGCCCCAAAGTAACACGTAATTCTCATTATCCATTCGTTCTGGGTAGCCTAGACGGATACACACGTTTATGTGATCAGGTGACTCTATCTGTTCGCCGAGTTTGGTGCCATTGCGCACACTGATAAAGCATTATTGATTAGTGACAAAACATACGCAGGCAAATTGCCACTCCCGACGGACAGATCAATCACTACCTAATCATCACCCGAGATACTAATTTCGCAACACTATCAGCTACTCGCGCAATTTGAGTAGTGTAGATGAAAATGCAACTAACGAACGAGTATCTCTGGCTGATTGTTGACCAAGATAAGTGCGCCGGAACGAGGCTTACAACCCTTACAGGACTGAAAGCAACAGGAACGGAAGTTCAGAATAAATATATTTACAAAATATACAAGGCGCTGATGGAAGGCCATTCCGCCATCCACTGTTTGGAAACGATTCAGTCGGCATCGAAATATCGTTCCTCTGCATCCAGATCCTGTTGTAAGTCATCGTCCAACGTGTCATCATTATCGATAGAGCTGAGAAAGTAAACAAGAAAGAAAAGTAAACGATCTACCAGAGGACGTGGATTTCGCATAAACTTCGGGCGACACAGACATCATCGCCTTATCAGAAGCCGCGAAGCCGTGATCGACACTCATCAGGTAAAGGTCTAATGAAGACCACAAGTTCCTAAACTGTCTACTACATTCTTGTTTAATGAAATCTCTCGCAAAAGACGTGGATGGAAAACAGGGAAAAGGTACAACCCATTGTGCCAACGCATGTGACGAAAAACGTTTTGGTGGATGAAAATATAGACCCAAGATCTGAATGCCACAGCAACCTTAATTCTCCGCCATACTCCAATAAACACTGAACAATCGGAAAGAACAAAAAACCTATACATTCAAACAACAATGAGAGCAATACACCTGAGCAACAAGCTCGAATATGTAATGAGTTTGCGGTCGGGTTGGGACATGCTTGTGAATCTGATAGAATACAGTCTAAATGCCTGAAGACAAACAACTTTAAGGTGAGTGATCAGGCTAGAGGGAAACGCAGTCAACACAGGACTCAGGTTCATGTCATCACCTGTAAGAAAAATCAAAAAGACTTCATTCAGGAAGTTTCAACCAGCCCGTAGTTTAGTACGAATGGGTGAACAACACCCATTTCAGTGGGCGTTAGATGATTAGGAGGCGGGGTGACCAAAGTGGTTAGAGCGCGAATTTACTGACCGGAAGGTTCGCGGTTCGAACCCCACCTCTGCCGCTCGACTTCCCCTGTCTAGGCTTGAGCAACCTGGCAGTATCCCAGCCCTCGTGCAACCTTCGGGTATCATGGCAGCTAGACCCCGAAAGGATGCCACAGCTGAACGATTTTTTTATGATTAAGTAGACGCGACACGTGATGATCGAAAGGTAATATTTCTTACATCATCCAGAGCACATCAGTTTTAGAGCGATTGGAGGCATTTAACTGGTGAATCAAATAGTAGGAGCCTATTCAATAGGGATTCATTGCCTTCTAAACGGATTTTCCAAGGAGATCAACTACGCTGATACACTTATGTGACAACCTAGTGCACACAAGACAAACTTTCAAAAAATATGTTCCACCTTTGTTTCAGTTTGCTGTCCAAATGGTATTCGGGGCTGGTTGTAACAAATGAATTCTGCAAAATTCCAGTAATTCGGTTGAGTGTTCTCTAAACTCGGTAACATCCTCCATCAAGCCATTATCTTCCTATCCGTTAGATTCCACCATGATGAAATAACACTGATTTTTACATGTTGGGAATGACTTCTTCCTATATGATCAATCCAGTCATCGGTTACGCTGTTAGCCGTTCGGCTTTGTGTACACTTTTTGATTGTTTACTTACTATGCTAACCATGATCAAACCTATCTGAAGTCCTGGTATCTCGGTATTTTTTCGCTTTCGAATGAGCTGGGTCAATAGCTTGTTTTTACCGTGAATACAGCAATGAAGGTGGAGACATTAGGTCATGTCACAGAAGGAAAAAGCCAAATCTAGCCACACTGCATGAATGTAGAGCCATTCGTAATTATTCAGGGAGCGTGTGGAATCCACGAGAAGAGAAGTTCAGTTTACGTTTGATGGGAAGTATTTTGCAACTCACAAGAGTATTCCATCGTTTCAATGAATCAGCAGTCACTAGAGGAATTATGGCCTCAAGCGGCATTCTTACGTATGGCTTCTAGTGACTAAGGGGTCAGATTTTCATAAAACTGTAGAACGCGGAACGCACTTTAAAGTTCTCTGGTATTGAATGTTACAGAAGGAAGCACAGATTGCATCATTTAAACGAAAAGGCAGTCGTCGCTGGTGCCGACGCCACGTTACTCAACACATGGATGGTTTAAAACAGTGACGAAGAACGGGTATCACTTTGGCTTTTTTGGACGCCTTGAGGAGACGAAGCCAAAGGTAAGCCAGATCCTAGTAGCCGAATTGACCGGTAATGCCCACCACCGATAGTCGCTTAGGTTTATCCGCCATCGGTTATGCGGAACTAACTGATGCTCTAATTCTGGTTGATGCGATAGTCCGCGAGACCAAATAACGCTGCTTAACCCGGACTGACTTGAATTGGTCGACGATTCAGCAAGCCCGTAGTTTGTAACCAAGCCCACAGGCATCCAGTATACCGGAGGAGCTAAAGCCAGAAATCACACGGTATCACAACTGTTTCCTTGTAATGCAAGTATTCACATTTTTGAAGGGGGCTTCCCAGGTAGAAAACAAAATCCACACTTTTACTGTGCCTCAGATGATAACCAAACGGATTGTCACAGGGACCCCTAGTGGTTTGCTGACATAGGCACACGCCATTGCATTGATATGGAACAAGTCTTGTAGCGTCATTAGGAAACAGAATTGGAAACACCTTCAAACGGCTGGACAGAAATAAAGATACAATGTGCGACGCAAAATCAAGTGAATTCATATGAGCCCAACATGAGCATGTAGTCAAAATCTTTATCCAACCCGTTAACGAAGCGAAGCCTCATAATTTCCATAAATTCTTTCTCCAACCCTTCCAAAGTTACACTTCCATCCGGAGTCACAGAGCCTGAAATAAATGGCTGTGTGATCAAAAATAAAACCGACTGCTTACCGTCACTTTCATCCGAGTCTGAAGAAGCCTCAAATGTGGCGTCGGATTCCTGTAACTATCGATCAAAATTGTACGACAGGACTGACCTGCTCTCGACAGGCTCGCTGCCAGTCTTTTGACTCTTGTTCGCGCAACACTACATCCATAAGAAAGCCGCTAAATGTACCATACTCCCGGTCGAGGTATTTCCGGCGCCCTGCTTCATTCAGATGGGCTCCAATCATCGTCTCCCACAATACTGGATCGCGATGCCGCATCGCAGGATGGCTGAAGTGCTCCATGGATAGGTGCTCCGTGCCGCCCTCACGATCCAGGCGTTTAAGAGCCTAAAATATGATAATCAAGGAGGAAATTTGGAAGATCAGATTGAAGAAAAACGCGTTCCTATTGTGCCCAAACGTGACACTTGCGATACACCTGAGCTTTTTAAGTTTAGATTTCTGAGTTAACCCGGCTGATGAACCACTGAAAAATAAAGAGCACGTATAATCCTCTATGCTCGATATCCTGCCCCATGTGGACGCACCCCTATATCATTTAAACCCGTGTTGGCTGTTCTACTTATCTATGTGTGATATGAGGAGATACGAACGATGTACACCGTCGAAGCTCTTCAAAATCTTTTCATACTAACATCAAGCTACAAGTAAATTACCTAGAAAAAGAAAAATCTCACAAGTTGCATGTGCTCTCCGCTCGGGGAAACGTTACGCGAGCAGCCTATCAGCACGTAACCGTGTGATTTGGATCGCGAGACTGGAAGATGAGTGATTCTGTATCCCATCTAAGCACGAGAAAATTCCACTGTTGACCAGCAGTTAGTGACTGAACGATGTAGTCTTCAGCTACCACGTGGGAAGATGAGAAATCCTGATGATTGCCAAAATGGAAGAACCAATTGTGCAGTGACTCTCGGGCTTTCACCAGAGAGTGAGAATTACAGGGTGGAACGTCCATCATCATCTCGAAATCTCACCATATCAAACCATGAGCGAACGTCACTGGGCCACAATTGACATTCGTTTCAAAATATCTTACTACTCACTAACTAATCAGTAGCTCGAAGACAAAGACGCATCGAACCTGACCTGCTCTGCGTGAGGGGTGTGATCCTGAAGGCACGGTTTGCCTTCTAAGACTAAATCACAATTGGGTTTGCCCAGTCATTAAGGCCATGGTTTCGGAGCATCATTACAGCCGCAACCACAAAGCTCACTCGAAAGTAAACGCGCTTTACTACAGCAATATCACACAGGTTTCAATCACTCAGCTTTCAACGTCGAGTGAGGAGTCAATCGCTATAAGGCATCCCTATTCGTCATCATACCTCATGAATCTCGGAAGGACTTCGAACGGACACATCCCATAGGTGATATACGAGCTACTCAACGTTAAACCATGTGAGATATCTCTCTCATTCACAAACGAATGATAGTGTTGAGTCAAACGACCACTGATGTATAGGGTTAACCCGGTGCCGGGTGTGAAAAGCCGAGAATTCACACCGGAGTAAACCCCTAAAGATGAAGGTGACTGTCATAGTTACCTGAAACGAAACTGCCATTGTTCGTCTATCCTGATTTTTGCAGAAATGTGCGGCATTAGTTGAAGAGTACTGGTGTTTTGATCGCCGGAATTTTTCGCGCGGGTTTGGTGGTCCCTCATTCCTCACTGGTCACTAGCATTTGACCATCGCACTAAGTGCGAGGAACAGCGAAATGATTCACACAGGTACGGGAGATCCTTGAAGCTAACTAACTTTGGTGAACGCGGAAGCAGCAATATGACAATAAACTGATGTTTGAGTGACGAGAAAAAGTAACAAGCAGATAGAACACGTGTATCTCTAAACTATCGTCAATCTCAGCAACACGTTAGTCTAGCCCACTAAACCATTTTAGCTCAAGCATTACTTCAAACCAGTATACTAAGTAGAGGATTTCCAACTTATCTGTAACCACTAAAGATAGGATAACCACGCACTAAAATCGACAATCGACACTGTCGGGAGAATTGTGCGAAATTCTGACATTTCTTAATTGAACGGTTGGAGTATCGCGGAGGTTAAGCCCGGTTACAATCGGGCCCAGGACAACTAAAAGTTGTCAGACGTTTAGGCATAACTCACGTTGAGGCGACGGTTTCGGACTTGATGCTGAGCCAGGCGGAGAGGTTGATTGAACTGAGTTCTATCCGACTGGGAGTCCAACTGTTTCACGAAGTGACGGACAATGTCATCCTTGGAGCACATGTGACGGAAGTTCACACTGTCTTCTGCCCAATTTAGATGCCGACCAAAGCGCTCGAGGAACACTCCTGGGTTGCGTCGATATAGGTCGCTAGCGATATTGCGCTTCTCAGACGTACTCAGTTCAGCCTCATCACGTGATTGATTACGAAAGTGGACATATTCTTGTGTGGCGAGTCGATTCAGCATTGATTCCACTGTGTTTGGTTGTGAACTTCCGTCTAGGTGACTAAGAATTGAGAGAAAATCTCTAATAATACAAAGGAAGCCAGGAATCAGAGAATGGAGTTGCCAGGACAGAAATGTCCGCAGATGAACCTACTTGTAGAGCAGTTATGATCATAAAATTGACAAACTTTTAACACCGAAAACAAAATGTTCTTTGGTCACAGCAGCCTTGGCATGTGCCAAGGTTTTGACTTGAAGATCGAGAGCTCAAGCGAGCCAAACCGCCGTTCTCCATAGACGGACACTACCAACAGAACCACAACCTCCACAGACGTAACATTCGGGGACCGAAGGCATGGAGACCCCGTAGTATGGAAGGAAAGAATTTAAGACACCACTTTTGAAAAAATTAGGGAAAACGGCCGTTCACGGAACGAAAAAACAACAAAGACCCCCGCCTTAATGCAGAAGGGTAGTGCCCAATGGAAGGTCCACACTTTTAGGAACAGTAATAACATTCGTGCGATCAATACTTCCGTCTCGTTTTGCAACCTCGAAGCGTTGAGCAAGTGAACAAACCTAGTGTAGTCCAAAGCAGGAATAAATGCCATAAGAGGTTGACTTCACGCTACTCATTCGTCAACAAAGGCGTAACGGAGTGCGAAACTTTCTAGGTGCTTCTTAAAAACAGAATATGAGAACCTCTAAGATAGTCTCCTATTCATACGTAATAAGCGTTAGCTCCGGAGACACAACACCCGTTACTTCATGTGCACTGAATGTACCGCGTGAAAAGATGCATGATTCACCCCAAGAAACTCACGGTTCTGAAGTGTCCGATGAAGGCTCCATTAGCTCTTCAACCTCTGTACGCGGAATGTCGGTGGTTTCCAAAGCAACCGTCATCGCTCTACAGAGGGGGAAAGTGCGGGCAATAAAATGTAGGACGAAGGCAACTTAGACACCAAGTAATAAAAGTGATGACTACTCGGGGCCGGATCTCAAAGCGGGCGACAGATTTAAGGACATGAGTTTTCCCATTCCCGGGCGATAAGGGAAACCCGACTGGCATGGAAGAATATCAGCAGCTTTCCCTGGATCCACCTCTAACCGCAGTTGTTTGATTAACTTATGGAACAACAAACATGGGTTTGACATGGAGCCGTTACCACAAGGAATGGAGTTCGCATGGATAGGCCTTCTGGATTCTAGATCTATCCGGGTGATAAAGTCTTGGACGACAATCAGGAGCTCAATCTTGCCGACTGAATCGAGTAGTGTGCTGAAATCAACAGACCTTACTACATGACGGACCGTAGTACCAAAGTGAGAAGTGCGATTAATATCCATAGTTCATGTTCAATAGTGACAAGTCTGAGCATCCCGGCTGTTAATTGCTTAGTTGGTTGTGACTCAGCACAACTGTAAAATTGATCAGTCGAGAAATAAGACAACATAAACATTCAGCAACTACTAAGAGAAAGGTGTAAAGTGCTCAAGGGAACCGAAATAACGGTCTTAGGGAAAGTGTAGATATCAAGACAATCCAACAGTTACGATGACCACAATGTGTTCCTTCGTGCTTGCTCCCGACTAACTCAACTGCGCTTCGAGATTCGCTGGGACCAAATCCCAACATCTCACTCATAAGCGACATGTTGATGTGGTAGGTAATGCCATTTAAGCTCCGGCGAACCACTAAGCGGTGAAATCAGCAAAAAAGGCCAGAGTAGCCTTTGTCAGCTATGGACATCTAGAATGTCATCCTCATATTAGCTCATCTCTCTGCATACACAAAACAATTCATGTAGATGCTTCAACTGCACTGGCCACCTGTAATCAATGAACATCGGTTTGGTAAGGTTTTTTTATGTGGCTTTCCACTCGTCCATAGGTTTTTGACCGTGCGAACCATCTGACTGATAGCTACCCCAAACAGATATTCAAATTCACGTACGGGACGCTCGAATTTATGTTCAACTCCACAATCTTCCTTGTGTGTATCCCACCACTTCAATGAAACGGGATCTGTATTAGATGAGTGCATCAGAAACCGAAAGGTTGGGAGGGTGCAGCTGTTCTCGATCGGTGGCCTGTCTATGTCGAACTGCTCATCGAGTCGAGTGATGGAAATGTTCAAATCCTGAAAACCTGACTGTAGATGCAGAAAAATAACTTCATTGGATCACCCGTTTTGGGTAAAGATGCGGAATCCCAAAAATGCATGGGGAGTTCAGTGTGCACCGGTAGAGCAGTAGCAATGTTGTGTAATGTAGGTAGTTCGGCTAACAGACCACCAACCAAACCGGTAGAGTAGTGTCAATCTAGCATGTCGGAGAGCTGGAGCTCGGCCTTGAATATGGACGAATGATAGGTTATCGAACACAGCGCCTAAGTGCCATGCTAACGGAAGAAGGCACGAGGACTGGGATACTGTCACGTTGCGCAAGCCTAGATAGAAGTGGGGAAGCATATATCGGGTTCGAACCACATACCTTCTGATCAGTAACTTCCAGCTCTAACCACTGAGCCATCTCGGCTAACGTCAACACTTATTTGTTGGTAGTATGAGGAGATTTGAGTATTTTCACTCTAGATTTCGTCTTGTAATCAAAACTAGTCTGTGTCGAGTAGCCAGAAAATACTGTACAGCTATCTCATCCCTAATGGGAGTCACCAACAATGGGCAACTTACAATACTCCAGTGGGATTGGAACCCGCGACCTCTGAGCCAAAATTCTGAACACTTGAGCATCCTGTCACCAGCAGCTGATCAGCAGTAGTGCCATGCTGAAGAAGGCACGAGGACTGGGATACTGTCACGTTGCGCAAGCCTAGATAGAAGTGGGGAAGCATATATCGGGTTCGAACCACATACCTTCTGATCAGTAACTTCCAGCTCTAACCACTGAGCCATCTCGGCTAACGTCAACACTTATTTGTTGGTAGTATGAGGAGATTTGAGTATTTTCACTCTAGATTTCGTCTTGTAATCAAAACTAGTCTGTGTCGAGTAGCCAGAAAATACTGTACAGCTATCTCATCCCTAATGGGAGTCACCAACAATGGGCAACTTACAATACTCCAGTGGGATTGGAACCCGCGACCTCTGAGCCAAAATTCTGAACACTTGAGCATCCTGTCACCAGCAGCTGATCAGCAGTGTGATTAACTCGCACCTAGCTATCTGCCGCAAGTCCTGCAGTCTGGACAACAAGCACACGAGCAGTGACCGATTTATTAGTTGTCCAGGAGAATCGCGTCCGTCACTACAACGCTCAACTTGACAACCAAGTATCTCTTTATGGATTAGGTGTTCATACAAAACTCTGCGCAAGCGAATTCACGGCAGCTTGACCGTAATTTAATGAATGGACTTTTGATTTGCCAAGTGCAATGAAGCTGGTAAAAGAGTAACAGACCATCAGCAAAAAAGCAGAGCACATTGGGTAGCAGCCAAGTCCAAAACAAAGCTGCGTGTCAAGTGTTTATATTGGGAAAAGAAATATATACAGAAAGACGATTGAGGGGAAACATTAATCATGGTCCACCTCGTCTGGACCCGGACAATCTCTGGTGAGCTGTTCTTGGGAATCATACTGGACACTGCACCAGAAACAAAAACTGTGCTTCCGACGCAAATAGCGCACGATCCGGCCCAGCAACTCCTCAGACTAGGGCGAAGAGGAGAAAGGAATGGTTAAACACAAGAAAGCACAAGCTTAAAAACGTAAAGGCGTGTACCCAACAAATGGTAACGAAATAAAGTTTTTAGACGGACCACGGTATCTGAAAGACGTGGATGTCTTAGAATCGGCAGTAGAAACAGGAGCGAAACGAAGTGTTTGGTAGGAACAGACTTCCTAACGAATGGTAAAACAGCTTAAGCCCGAAACGGGATGAGAAGGTGGCACTTGAAGGGACGATCACGTAGGTATGCGTGAAAGATCTGGCGGGGACTGAGACCTCGTGTCTCCTCTTCACAGTTTAGTCGTTCAGCAACATACCTACCGTATTCGCGGTGCAATATAGCAACATGCCTTCAATGGAATGGAGAAGGGAAAGCTGCACGTCAAAGGCGAGGGCTTGTGACACTTTTGTGTAGTCAGAGCATCGTAATGAACCCACGAGCCGTTTTTTGGGCGAAATGGGTGAAAAAATAACCACAGCTCCGCTGGAGAAACACTAATGGTGAAGTAACTGCGATATGTCCGTCGCTGCCATCTTCTTCGTAAACGACAGTATCAGAATCGGCGCTGATGTCTGACTGCATGTGAACAATATTTATTTCAAAAAGCCCACATTTGTAAGAGGAAAAATGAAGAGGAGTAGCCTGATAGAATCAGTAAGGGGTTCATACATCTGAGAATGCCCAATCAGCTTCCTCAACCATCACAATTTATGGTGCTAGATAGTCTTCTCCAGGTCCAGTGATCGAAGTAAAAAATCGTTCAGCTGTAGCACGCTTCCGGTGCCTAACTGCCATACTACTCGAAGGTTGCACGAGGGCTGGGATACTGCAAGGTTGCCTAACCCTAAACAGGAGGAGTCGAGAGGCAGAGGTCGGGTTCGAACCACAGGCCTTCCGGTCAGTAAATTCGCGCTCTAACCACTTGGGCCATCTCGCCCCCCAGTGATCGAAGTACCTGGTTACAAAATTCCTCATGCCATCAGTTGAAAGCTGATACCTGACATCTGATATCTGAAGAAACCTCAAGGGAACTGAGAACGAAAATTCGGTGAAAAGTTCTGGGTGTTACAGAACACTTCTTCGGCTATCAGTGGTTCGAATGGATATTACCTGAATGATGTGTTACACGTCTTTATGGTTAAAGTATCATGAATTAACTTCATATTCCAAAATCAAATGGGACCAACCGACCAGATCAAGTTACAATAGGCTATCAGTTGTGTTATAGGTGATTGATCAAGCCGAGACAAAGCTTAACAGAAGGAATCCTCGATATAGTTAAGGCAAGGCAGTTATATTATCAAGGAGATTAAGAGCACCAACCTCGAAAACCAATTGCCCTCAAAAACTGAAAAAAACATTGGGGAAAACTACAAGGTCGGGAGTAGAAAGGAACCTACATATCGTTCTGTTTCATCTTCAGACTCGGAGGAACTATTCGAACATTCCTCTCGGTTAGGATTCGGTGGCACGTCAGGCAAGTCGGACAGATCAAAGTTCCTGTGTTCCACCCGTCGACGCTTTGGTACCACTTCGGCTTCACTGGAGGTGTCTTCTCTCGTTTCAGTATCCTCCTTGTCCGCTTGGATTGGCCAGTAGTACGGATGAATTGGAACAGTGATGGATTTTTCCATGTCCAGCTGGTAGCATACGCTTCGTACAGCTACCAACTGATTGCGTACCCGACACTGTTTGAACTTTTCGGCCATAAACGTTCGGAACTGTTCTTGCTCTGCTTTTAGCATAAGTCGCCGTTTCTCCCTGACCGCATGAAGCCTTTCTTTCATGGCACTGGCCAAACCAAGGCCACCACGTCCATCGGGAATCTCAATGGGTACCGGTTCTGACCTTCCTTCCGCTGCCGAAAAATGGATAAATCGTGCACACAAAAAGCAGTTACTATTTCAGTGAGGTGTGAGCAGAATTAATGTGACACAACCGTAGTAAACAACTCCGTCGCCCCGTTCAATAACACCCGGAATAGTCTATTAAAATGAAAATTAAAGGATGAAAACCTACTATATGATTGGATCACTGAAACGTGAAAAAGACCCAGTGTGGTTGTTTTCCAATCATAAATAACCTGCAACCGTACATTCGTTCAGTTGCCACTGCAGCCGAACGCCGATAACTGAAGATCGATTGAGAAGCAGAAAAGACAAGAAGATTGATAAACATCAGACTGAGAATAGAGGTTAGACAACTGGATACAACAGTTCCGTCGCCTATAAGAGTTCCGGACTTAGGCGAGTATCTGCCACTCACCATTGATAGCAGGGATCAACACAGGGAGCTAACTGTCATATGACCATGTTGGTTCCTTGACGGGTGGGTCTCTGATATGGCAACCTCACGAATGGCATAAATCAATATGCCTTGGAGCCGCTAGAAAGCACTTCATAATGGGGTCCAAGTCATCCTTTATCCACCCCGTTTCACCTTCATAAAACAGGGCACAACGAAACGACTGATCAAAGGACTAAAACCTGGCGCAAACAAGAAAATGTAAAGATCCCAACACTAACATCCCCATGCAATCTACTTTTTTCTCGACATACCATGATTTGCCTAAAATTAAGATAATTTCCAGGCATCAAATCAACAAGAGGACGAGTACTTGAATTTTCTTAGCCACTAAGTCGGAGAATTAACCCTTTTGACTAAATGTCGGGGTATGTGACGCTAATACATTGAGTGATCGTAAGGTAGGCATCCGTCGACAATCAAACCCAGAAAACTACAGAAACTAAGTTTCCGTTTCCATGTCAAATTTCTATTAATGTTATTCCACATTCGATGGCCAAACGACGATTTACTATTCTTCTTCTTCATGTGACTCAAATGGTTCAGTTATATAAACCATTAGGCTATCTGCATGCCTTCCGGTTATCTTTAGATCTCCTTTCAGTTCAAAACCGGTGAGAATAAAACGCATTTGTTTGGGTTGATTACTGAAAAGATTTTCATAACTCACTGTTTCAATCACCCTCGTCAGAGGCCAAATAATTACATCTTCAAGTCAAACAAATCATGCACTGCGTACAACCTATTAGACCTCATTCGTGCAATAATACACACAACCTCATTCCAGAAATAAAACAGTGGTAGCAAAAAAACTGTGAATGGAACTAGTGCGAAATCCGACTGCCTCTGAAGTGTATCACCTAAATGGAACGAGTCGCAGTCTTTGAGTGAAATATCCACAATACTGCCAATTTCTTCATTCATAGTCTGAACTAACAAGGTATCTTGCCTTTTGGAATTTAGGGGAAGCAACCAGAAACCGACTCAAACGGATTCGGAAGCAGAAGTGCAAGAAAACAAAAACAAAAGCCCACAAGGATCTACCTACATGCAAACTGAATAACTATCTATTCTGCGATCTACTCAAGTGGATGATGATGCGCGAAACATGCTAGGAGGACTACCTATAAACGAACAAATAGACATTGCTAACAATTTGTCTTGTGCACTGAAACCTTGTTCCTACATTTCATCCTCTTAATGACATCCTACTGGACAGTTAGCCCTTTTTTATATTGTGGTTCAGTTGGATTCCATATCGCGGGACGATCCATTTGTTTGCAGTGTAACTTCTTCGAAGTTGTTTGCCTTCTCCATTCCTGTGAACTAATGAGTCTGACTGATACATTATCAAGAAGACATAACAAAACAGTTACCGACGGACAACTGATATGTGCTCCAGAAAATTAACCCTACGCAGTGGCTGTATGATTAAGTTGGCTTGTTTCGTTTGAAGCAAAGGGAATTCAACAAATGAATGAACCCTGACTGCTCGGCCACACAAGTAATACCTGTAAGGCAGTGACTTAGTGTTGAAATAAAGGCTCCAATAGCACAGTATATGTATCAACATGTATAGCCGGCTGATCACAGGATAGGATTCTACGAACATTAGAAGCTTGAATCCCAACAGAAATGCAATTCGATATGGCAAGTTTGCAGTGCTAGAGGCTTACCATTTTTTCCCAAACCTTGTCCAGGCTGATATCCCATCTTGAGCAGCAATCCAAATCCCTTGTTGGAAGAATCCACATGCTTCTTCAGCCCCTCTTCGCGAAGAACAGCCTCTTTCACCGTTTTTGACAGTTGTGTACCCTTCTTTGAGGCTTCTTCCCTATACCGATCTCGTGCTACACTTCGGACAGTAACCAAACCGGGCGGTGCAGAATCACTATTATCACCGTTTCGACTGCGGCCAAATTAGAACTTACAGTTTCTTGAGGAACGCGTCCGACATGTAGTCCTCTTCTTCTGGATCACCCATATTAGCCGATACTGTTTCCCACAGAAACCACGTGAACACCTCAAACACTTCAAGGAACCAATGGGTTGGACTAACAACGGAGTATGTGACTGAAATGGTAAAACGACAATGAATTAAACCACTTCAGAAAAGTGGATGTGCTGGGAAGACTGTGCGGACTATCAGAAACCAATAGGTTGCCGGTCCTGCTCTAAGTTCCGTGAGACGAAGACCTTATGTGTTGTGCGTACCACCGTCCGTGTACTCAAAATCTGATAGCAAACGCCTTGGGAGTATTTCAGTCCCCGATGTTTTAGGGTCAGCCACAGAAGTTGCGAACAGCACATGAATAACAAAGTTGAGGATAAACGGTGATGGGGGCATCACTGTCTTACACCCTTGATGGACAGTCCTTGCCGACCGGATTATTTTTATTGACAGCATGAACACCACCGACATCAGTCAGCCGCCTCATCGTCCGCTGTCTTTAGCCAAACACAGGGAGTCACTGGGACCTTAGCCTGAAAGGCGAACAGCTCCAACACCAGAGAAATCACTCGCAACACCCTCAATTCATTTCAGCCATATTAAATCTTGCCCACGTCTAGGTTTTCGTCACGCCGAAACGGGTAAGGAAAACAGCGCTCGTTTCTGTAGAACGTAAGCAGACACGCCTAACACATGGCCCATCCAGCTAAGCTTGCAGTGCTAGATGCATCGTTCGAGGGAATGGCCTTATGCTTTAGGAAAGAACCGTCTCGTGACCACTGCATACTGAATTCATTGGTTCCAGACGATTAAGTCATACATCTGAAATACTGATGACTGAAGACCTGGAAATGCTTCAGATCCTGTATCCGAAGTGGCCAAGTCTCGCAGCCGTACAATGCAACTCATGGATCAAACCTGATGGGCCCAGTAAGGAGTTACTTAATGGAAAGAAGTTCAGACACCGAACAGTAGTTAGACGACTGGCGGAAGGACTGAACGTAGTGGACAATTTGACGCATTTGGGATGTAGATGAAGAACACGGATCAGGTATGAACAAAGAGCACCCATTGAGGAAGCTTTGGTTATCTCGATTACTCAGCCCAATCTTTGGTGACTTGGAAGTATTTCAGTCTCATCGTTTCGTCGAGTTACAAGGCGGCGATTTACCGAAAGGACGCCAACGTTGAACAATCAGTTGTAGTTAAAGCGCTGGGTAAACTCCTTGTAACGCTAACTTGGTAGCCCGGCGTTCATTTTGGTGAGCTAAGCGTTCAGCAACTCCAGAAGGAGCTAAAGACTCCGCTTGGCGACCGATTACTTTTGACAATAAACATGATCCAGCTGGTATCACTGTACAAGCTGCAATGAGTACCCGTGTCACCGTATACGGTGCAGCCTCAAAGGGAAGCTTGGAGTGATATTCCGGGACCATGCCACCACAGACTGCAAAACCTCGACGAGAGGACATAAAATGTTCGACCAAAATCGACGCTACTCTGTTGACTCGTGTCGTCAAAGGGTGGAGGATGCCCAGATCACAAGTTAATGCTAAGTCGCACGAATATTTGATCCTTGATGCTCATCAGCAGTGCATCGTACACATAGTATGCTGCTAATCAGGTGATACATAGACTCAGAACTTCTGCCATGCAGACCCTAGCAGCACACGCAGTCCAAAATAACCGAGTTTTCTGGTTATACGACGGTTATATAACCGTCAAATAACCGCCTTTTATAGTTGACAGGTGGTTATTTGCACCAAAATAACCGTAAAATAACCGTGTGTGCCGGTTATTGCACGGTTGAATAACTGTCAAATAACCGTGTGTGTCGGTTATTTCTCGGTTGAATAACCGTTCGCCGGTTACTGCTCGGTTAAATAACCGTCAAATAACCAGTGTAAATTAATTTACATTGGAAGCAGCTTTGGTGGAGAAGTTACACGGGACCATTGTCCCGAAAATTCATGAAGCTAACGTGATTTTTCATTTGTTCTGCGTAATAACTAATTTACCTTAATTTAATTAATTAAATAATTAACCCAAATTGAAAACACTGAGACCAAGCTACCCAACACACCAGAGTTAGGTAATGAGGCGGCCAAGAAACTTAACTTGCATGTGATTGGTCCAACGGTCTCACGGATTCACGGATTGATACGCAGGATCTAGGCTATTGCCCAAGTTTCCCGCGTCGGTTTTGTTCTTGTCGGTAAGTGGCTGTCGTTCACCTGAAACTCACAAGTGAAAAAAAGGTGTAGCACAGCTCTTTATGTTCTCAGCGCGGGGCAGTATGCTTGCCAGCGCGAGGATTCGCATAAACAAATGTCCAACAGTGCTTTAAACTGGGTTCAAGAAGGAGCGTGTACAACCGTCGGAGGAAGGACATTCAACGCAGCTACTACCCGAAATGAGAAAAAATGCCGTGGGCTAGACGCACGCCGAAAATTTCTCTGAAACCGTGGTTCGAAGGAGGAAAACTTTACCATAAAGTTTTAACCCATAAAGTTTAACATTTGATGGTAATTTTTCGGGCGTATGAGATATTCCCAAACGGTCGCAGTTTTGCTGAATGTTGTTTAAATCTACTCAATCCGCACGTTATTCAAGACCGGGGATATTCATGTTTTAATGCATTTCAATCGCTTTGAAAGAGTACCAGACGAAACATTTCGTTGTTTTCGTCCGCATAGACTCCAAAAAGAGCAGCAATTCGCTACTTTTGTATGAAAAAGCCTTCTAACGTTGCAGCAGACATCCCTGCAGATGAAGCCGAAGCTGTGGAATTCGTCGCACTTAGTAAGTTCATGGTTGATTGTGTTTACGCGGTAGCACACGTCGTACTGATTGCGCGGCAAGGCTCCATGTTTGCCGGTACCATGACTGCTTGAGTGTTGCTTCCTACTACCTGGAGCACAACCATCCATGCAGCAAGTTTGTTTTTGACAGACTCTGCATCAACCGGCGACTGACAAATGATGAATTAAAGGAGTGTTGTACCCTTTTGAAATATGGTGCTCCGTCATTGGAGATTCGGCAGTACGTCGCCGACCACTTTGGAAAGGTGCTCACTATCAAGGGTGTGCGTGACTATCGTGTCAAATGTCGACCCCGATTGTTAAGTAGGTCGTTGGTTACCTTTTAGTCGGTTTCTTAGGTGACACGTCGTCCATCGTAGCGAAGTTTCGAGAGTGCGGTGGTTGTTAGTAACAGTCAGTTTGTGGTACAAACCCCAAATTGTTCTCGGACAGTCAACACCTCGGCCGGAACCTGCACGTGCACATTTTACCAATCAATGTGGCTACCTTGTGTACACCTATTTTCCGTATTCAGAGGCCACTCGTTCCCATGCGGTAGGTTGATTGATCGAACATGCATTATCTAGGTTAATTTCCAATCCATCAACGGTGGCTTGCCGGATACAACCTACCGGATGGAGGAGTACCTTTGTCTCTGGTTCCAAAGCCAGAGCCATCACCAATAGAGCATTTGCACAA